CTGGGAGGATGGTAGGCTCGTTGTCGGTGCACCTGCTTTCTTCTCGTGCGAAGCCGATGGCGACGCCGCGGGGTGCGGTGCCGTTTGTGCGGCGGACGATGAGTACCCTGCGATCTGCCTCGAGAAGCATTTGACGCGGCTCACGCACGCCATCGAGGCGCCGCTCCCTTCGACCATTGACACCGCGCGGCTGTGCGCACTCGACGTGGCTGCGGTGCGCTCGCTGCTCGCGCGGCTGGTGGCGGCAGAGGAGGCGTTGCGGCTTGCGCCGTGCGTGCAGGCCGTCTACTCGCTGCTAGGCGAGGGCGAGGGCGGGCTCAACTTGTGGACGGCCGTGCTACAGACGCACATCGCGCGCGCCCACGGTTTCAGCCCACCCTCCCTCGGCGTGCAGCTGCTCCGCTCCGCCGCCACGCTCGCGCCAGACGTGGCTCAAGCAGCACACTACGTGCGCTTCAACCGCTGCCGCAGCGGCACGCTCTCCTCCGGCTGTGCTTTGCCCGACGTCATCCTCGCCCGGCTGAGTGATGGCGGCGCCGTGTCACTGCTCGATTCGCTCCCGGCGGCCGGTCCGACATTCCTCCTCGCAGCTTCGTTCACCTGACCGCCGTTCCGCGCGCACGCGCAGCTGCTCGAGCAGCTGCGCGTGCGCGCGGATGGCGTGGTGCGCTTCCAGCTCGTCTACACGGCAGAGGCGCACGCTTCCGACGAGTGGCCCGTCGGATCTCACATTGCGCAGCGCCAGCCGCGCTCCACGCACGAGCGCGTCTCCGTCGCGCGCCGTCGCCTTGCCGAGCTAGGCGTCAACTGGCCCGGCACGCTCGTCGACACTGGGCGCGAGGCCTTCCAAGAGGCTTTCGCCTGCTGGCCCCTCCGCTGGTACTTCCTCGACGGCCACACGGTCACCCACATCGCGCAGCCGTCGGGCGGCGCGTACGACGTGACCCAGATCGAGCTGTGGATCAACCTGCAACTCGAACGCGCCACCAACGCCTAGAGTCGTTGTGTTACCCTTCTGTGCAAGCATGACGAACGCCGTCAGCAAACCCAGCTCGCTGGGGAACGGCGATCTGAGAGAGTCACGGAAGGCAAGACCTGTGTTGCTAACTTTTGTTTGTCGCGTGTAAAAAGGTAAAAAGGAACAGGCTTTCCTTAGGCATAGAGGGGAAACTGCGTATAGCGTATTTTTCTTTCTGTTTCCCGGGGCGCGGCGCGTGCCAATACGGCTGTGAGAGAAAAAGATGCGCGCAGGGGTAAATGGCGCGGGCGTGGGATGTGGTGATCTGTGATAGAGAGAGAGAGAGAGTATGGTGCTGCGGCCTCCTCTCCTTGCGTAAAACCCAGCCGGGCCTTTTTGCGCGCGCCAGTCCCATGCCCAGTGTTGTGCGAGGGAGAGTTTGTTGTGAAATAATCCGTTACTTCGTTTCCGTTGTAGAGAGAGTTGGTTTGTTGAATTCTTTTCCGTTGTCCAGCTTTGACACCTTTTCCGTTCGGCAATCGGTCGCTGGGACCCGCGCTGGCGTGCTTTTGCGTGTTGAGTGTGGCAGCGAGCAGGGACCGCTCCGACTCCATCCAGTTGAGGGCAACTGGCATCGCCACTCCCGCCAGCTGGACCTCGACGCCGCTCCTTCATATGCGCAGTCTCCTCTCTCTAAACATACAACACTTGGCCAGGCCTCGGGCGTAGAAGGCGTGGAAGGGGGCGTTCGCTTTGTATGGCTCTGGGCACATGGGCAGCGGCCGCGGGCGCTCGCTGCCATCAAGAATCACAAGGACTGGTTCACGCACCAGGAGCTCGTCAAGGCGCGGGATGTGCACGTCAAGAACAACCCGTCCCTCGGAGACAGCGCCGTCAGCAACCGCGAAGCCACGCGCCTCATCTCCGCCTCAACGCCTTTTTCGCCGGCAAGGCCTTCGATGTCCGTGTCGACGGTACGTACGCCACCGCCCTCTCCTCCGACACCCTCCATACTCCAGGACGAGCTCCAGCGGAAGCTCGGCCTTTGGCTCTCCGCGGCGCTTCCCACCCTTCGGGTCGCGCTCGAGCGGGGCATGCCAGTCGATTTCTTCGGCGACTACCTTTACAACAAGGCCCACCACCGGCGGCCCCACGACGGCGTCCTCGCCGCCTGGGCGGACGCGATGCGCGCCCCGGCCAACGCGCCGGTCGTGCACGGCGACAAGGAGAAACCAGAGCTCACCCGGCAGTACAACGAGGGGTACAAGACTGACCTCGCAGAACCCCATGCGGGGCCGGGAGGGTGCGATGACGTGAATGAAATGAAGTCAAGCTCTGGACGCCCCTCCTCAAGACCTCCTCGACGGGCGTTGGCAACGCCTCGAGTGGCGGCACGCCCGCCTCCGTTGGCCACTCCTACGCCTTCGGCAGCACCGAGGAGAAGGCCCGCCCCGCCTGAACATGGGCTGCAAGGCGCGCGGGCAGCCCAGCCAACCCTTCTCCCACAAGAACGGCCACGGCTACGTCAAGGCGCATCGCGGTTTCTACCATGATGCGATCTTTGTCAAGCGCAACAACTTCAACCTGCTGCTCCACGAGACGTTGCGGCAGCTTCTCGCCCACCGCCGTTCTCAAGCTGCGCCGCCTCGCGCGCAAGGTCGCGCGCGGCAGCGTCGACCGCACGGCCTACTCGCCCAAGTACTCGCTCTCTTTTATGTCCCACTATGCAGAGCGCATCTCTCTCTCT